CACTTAAAATAAGCCCAAGAGCTTTTGCTTGTGCGAAATCCAGATCAGCAATAATACATTTCTAGCCAGTCCTGTAAATGTGTTTAAATTAAGGAAACAAACCAGTTAATTGTGCTACAAGATCAAACAATACATGAAAAATTCTTTGGTATGCAACCATTATAGCTTGATTAGTAAAAACTCTAATATAGGTAAAAACTTAATATAAATTAATATAATATATATTAATTATATAATAATGATAAATATATAGTATACTATATAAATAAATTTAATTAACATATTTAAATTATGTTCTGTATTATAATTACTAATTTTAAATTTGTTGATTTCACCAGCAACCTGTTTGAAAGATAAATCAATTTGAAAATATTTACATTTAGACAATTCTGATAGATGTTCAAAAGTTGTACAAATTATCATTATATAATTATCTTCAAAAAATTTTTAAAAAAAAGAATAATAATTTTTTTTTTTTTTTTGATGATCATATCACAACTTTATTTTAATATAGATTTTACATTTTCACTAAAATGTGATTTTTATTTATAGCTATGCTATTTTTAAACCTATAGTATAGCTCACCCAGTTGCCTACTAGTACTTATGTGCGACCTGCCAAAGTAGAATTAGCCTCGCTGCTTTTTTTCAATTTGCCATAGATATTGAATATACAGTTCCTTGGCCAGAATCTACAACCTGTCATGATCTATTTAATTTTTATTCCAGCTGGACCACTTGCTGGTCCATACCTATCTATTTACTTCCTCCACCGTTATGTCTAGCCCTTCTTTGAACTTATTCCACCATCTTGGCCTATTTCCTTTTCTCTTATTTTTATTTCCGTTAGTAGTAGGTAGATTTACAGGTTTTTTCCCTCATTTTTTCTTTGAGATGAAGCCATTTGGAGCACTTCTTTTTTTTCTCTTTTTTTTCTTGGAGTCAATGTTTAGTTCTTTTTCCCAGTTTGCTACTTCCTCACATCTTTGCGGCCATATTTCGTCTTGGAAAAAAGTATACCACTTGTCCTACCATTTCAATATGATTGCCTCTGAGCTTCGGATTGGAATATCCATTGATAGTAGAAAGATTAACACTTCTGTCTCAATTAGCCCTCTTGCTATTTTCTTTCTTTTTCGTAGATTTTCTTTTTTTTCTTTATCTATAAGAGTTTGGTACAAAACGCCTGTAGAGAGTTTCTTCTTTATATGTGGATCTAGCTTGTTTCAGATTTCTTTTACAATTTTCTGCTCTTTATTTGCCCACTTTACTGCATCAATCTCACAAGTAGATAAGTGGTCGAAATCTTCTTCTTCTTGTCTACACTTTTTACATAATGCTGATGAATATAGATCTTTTCAGTTTCTTCTACGAGTATTGAGTGTAGGAAGTAATTCGTTTAAGCTTTTGAGTCTAAAACTCCACTTTTTGTTAGATCTAAAGGTTCTTCTTTTTTTCTTCTTTTTTTTAATCCACAGGCTCTTAAAGATTTTCCAATTTTGTTTTACAGGTTTTCGTTGGTGAATCGAGTCCTTAGTGTTGTTAACAAATAGCTATTCTGCCTTGTAAAGTGTATAAGTAATTTTTTTAACAAAGCTACAGATTGGGGCTTTAATTGCACTACTCTTCCATATTGGTCTAAAAATTATACCCTGGGTTTTATTAATAATAGTATTTGTTACTTCTGTTTCATTGGAGCCTTTTTTTGCTGTCTTGTCTGCTAAATCGTTTAATATATTACCAGTGTGGGCTTGATCTTAAAGAGCTATATGTCTAAATTCTTGGTGTTTATATTTTTGGCAATAGCTCCAAGTATGTTGGGATTTTTAGCTTTGCATCATGATCTTGTATTTTTAGTTTTTTTAATTTTCTCTATTGCTTGAATTGCTGCTTGGCTATCTGTAAAGATATTAATCTTGCAGTTGGACGGTGAAATTAGTAGTGCTCCCAAAATTGCAATAAGTTCTGATCGAGTGGACGAGAACCACCCTTGAATTCTACTTTTTAATTCTCTTATTATATTACCTTTCTCATCTATTTGAATTATACCATACCCTGCCTTATGATCTTCTACCCCTCCTCCTTTAAGTAAGCTATCTGTGTAGTATGCTATTTCTCTATATATATGATTTTCTTCAACTACTTAAATTAGTTTCTGTTGTTTAGACTTATTTTCTATAGTATTTTTCACCAGATATGTTTCCCAATTATCTATATGAACTTGATATACTACTTCTGATTCTTTTATTCTATTTTGGTCAATTTCTTCTGAGATAACCAAATCTTTAAGATACTCTAAACCAATAGAAGCAGCCCAACCACCTTCAATTTTCCTTTTAATCCATGGACTGATGTCTTCTAGATTGCTTTCCTTTACTTTTAATACGTTGGGGTAAGGAGGAGTAGGGACTAATTTTGGATTGGAAGAGATTGTGTAAAGCGAGTTTTTTTTATTTTCTTCATCCTATTCTAGTATATGAACCTTTCTATATGAGAATTTCTTTTGGATTCTTTCAATGAAGCACAAGTTGTTTTCTTCTTTTGTTCCTAAAACCCATTCTTTCTTTGATCTCTTATGTGATATTCTTCTCTTTTTTGTTCTTATTTGTTTCTTATTTATCGCATTATCTTGTATTAAGGACTCTTTAACTTTCCAAGAAACTTCATCAATAATTACTGTCTCTTCTAATCTTTGGAACCAAAGAGGTACCTGTCCCATTGTCGATACATTTTGTACTCTACGGATTTGTTGCCAAGTGAGCATGGAGTTGTTATATCATGAGACTATCTGTTTTAAATACCAAATGTTTAATTTTTTGAGGCTTATACTGCTTTTTTCCAGATCTTTTTTTTTGGATTAGCTCTCTTAGTTCATTGATTGAACCATTTCTTGGAGCTATATTCCAATTTTCTTCCCAGTTTGAGTTTTAAATATTGATCTCTATTTCTTTTGCTGCTGCCAGTATAGCTGTGTTGAGATTGTTTTTCTATTCGTAGAGCTTTATTTCTTCACTTGATAGAAGCCATACTGGCTTTGTAAATCTGAGTGTAAGCTGAGCTTTTTTTAACCGCATTCTGGTAAAATCGCCTACCAAATCCAGATTATTTATTCTAATTACCCATTCTGAAATCATGTGTTCTGTGTAACATTGCCATAGGGAATTAATTTCTCATATATCTCTTTGTGTCAGGATAAAATTGGATGCTGTTGAGAACATTTCTGCTGTCCATTTTGCTACCCATAAGATCAGCTAATATGGTTTTTCACATTCTCTTTTGGTAAGCATTATTGTATTAAGTTTGTATTTAGCTCGGGGAAGAACTATCATATTGTTAATATATTTTACGTGTTCTATTGAGGTTTTTTTTTTGAGTAGCAAGTTGACCATTTGTTTGATTTTCTGACCAAGTTTTTTTATAATTATTTGTTTAGGTTCTGCAGATGTGAGCCAGACCCCCAAATATCTTGCTACTTCTTTTTTCTTTTTCGCTACTATTTTCTCCTTACTCTTCTTTATGCTATCGATTTTTCTTCTAACTTGTTTTTTGGGTTTATTACTAGTAGCTCAGTTTTTTTCCCATTAATTTCGATGTTGTTTAGACTGAAGAAGGATTCTGCAATTTCTATTATACTTTCCATGTCAGATTTGAAGTTTGTCATAAAAGCTGTGTCGTCTGCGTATGTGAGCCCTGCAACTTGCAGATTTTCTTTTCTTATATTTCCCCATGTCAAATCTATAGGCTATTCAATTTTATTTCTGCCCTATTGTTACATTTTTGCAGTTTATATAGCAGGGGTCGAAGTAAATTCTCTATAGGAGAGGAGAGATCACCTCGCCTTAGTCTATTTCTCTTTTTGCACAAAAACCTTAATTATTTCAAATTTGGTAAATACTTTAATTTCTCGATTTAAGAATAGATTAATTAGGAACTTTTCTAATTTTTCTGGAACTTTAATACACTTTAATGCCAGTTGCAGCCTTTTAAGATCGACTATATCAAAAGCTTTTCTAATATCAATGAGAGTTATCCACATTTCTTTATTATCTTGTTTTGCTAACTCGATTAGGGAGTTCATTATATGGATTGGTTTTTGGGTACATTTTTCTAGTAAATCTGCAAAGTTGGGTCCTCTTAGAATCCTGTGGGTGATTATTCAGTTACTTAATCTTCTCTGGATAATTCTAATTAAGCCTTTTCTTGTTGCTTCGAGAAGCATTATAGGTCTGATGTTTTCTAATTATAAGTCTCATTCTGCCAGTTTTGGTATTGGGAAAATCATACTAATTTTCCATTTTCTTGGCATTATTCTCTCCTCTAAAATTAGATTAAGAAGTTCTAAGAGAATCTTTGTTGCTTTTTTTCCTAGTGTCATGGTGACATACAGTATGCAGTCAACATGTTTAAAAATAAGTGTAAGAGTGATCGATCGATTAGTGTTTTGTATATGTGATTCATGTGATCATCGATCGGGATTATGGGTGGTCAGTAATACGTTTAAGATACCAAAATAAGATCATAATTAATATCAAAAGAAAGATCAATTATGCATTAATAGATAATATGAGATAGTTTATTAGTAAGTTATGCATGGTCAATCGAATAAAGTATGTAATCAATTAAAGAGTCAAACGATCATATAATCGTATATGAGCAAATTATGATGTAAGTAATGTGACCCGAAGTGTATATATAGCCAAAGAGATTGTAATAATATAAAAAGATTTTAGTTAGTTAGTTAGTTTAGAAAGTTTCGCTCTTAATAAACAAGAAATAAAACCCTTAATAAAATAAAGTAATAGTATATAAAGTAAACACTTGCTGTTTAAGTTGGTTCGCTTGGTTCCTAATTAATAGTGTCTACTATTTGAGTTAGGTTTTTCTTTGACGAAAGTCATTGATCAACCTGTGACATGAGAACCTGGGCAAATTACTAGCCCATCTTGCAACAAATTAGTATTGACAGTCCACAAGATGAATCTGATGTTGATCTACATGAACATGGAGGAAGAGGAAGATGTTAGTATTAAAAAGGTGGATGAAAGTGTGATGATTAGCAAAAGTGTTAGTAAGGATGAAAGCAAAGTATCCAATGAGGATCCAAAACCCACTACATCATATTATGGTACAAGTTTACTTGATATATTTTATAGTAATAACGGGAGTAGCAATTCTAATCAAGTTGGATTAGAGAAGGAAAATGCCGAATAAAACGATATTGAAAGTAATGAGTCGATTAGTAAAGTGGATGATCAAAGATTGGATGATTTGAAAGCTGAAGTTGAACGATTGTCGACGGATATGAGTAACGGCGATAATGAAGCTATAGATGTCTGGTGTGGTAATGGGACATATGATGTTGGTTATTGTGATCGGGAAGAAATAACTAGCGATGAAACGGAAGTAGATAAAGAGGTTAATTTAATCGATTATGATGAAAAGGATAAATATAAGAAATTTATCTGTTGTAAAGTCAACAATCTGATAGATTTTGATGAATCCGATCAGATGAACGAAAGGGAACCTGAAAGCATATTAGATGAGTTTGTTAAAAACGATTTGATTGACTTTAGGTATGTTGAAGAGGAAGTAATTAAGAATGATGAAGTGAAGGATGAAATAATTAGGGAATCAAATAGTGATATGATTGGATGGTCTCGACGAATTGGTGATGAGGATAATGCTAAAAAGGTAGTTCATATTGGACATTGTGACCAGGATGAAGTTGAAGTCGAAAATAATAATAATAGGGATAAAGCTTCTGATGGTAGAGCTAAAATCGTTAAAAGTGAAATAGAAAACATCAAAAGAACACGTTATGAATTCCATGATGAATCGAGTGAAGATGTGGTTTTAGGATTGAAGGAGATGGTAAAAGACTTGTTAAAAGTGTTGAGAGATGATGACTCTGAGAAATTCGAGTGTGGTGTAGATTTGTCCAAATGGCATTGGCATACGGACTTTAGGGATCTTGATGATAGAATTGTTGGATGGTGCCGAGAGCCTGCTGCAAATAACAATTCGAATATATGACTTGATATTGGGAGTGGTGATTGAATAGTGAGAAGTGTATTTGATCGAGAAAAAGTGTTGTTGGTGCAAAGTAATTAATAGTAAGTTTGGTGATATGTATGATGTTTTATGAAAATTATGTTAAAGAAGTTGAAAACTTCAGAAACAAAGTTCCTGGGGCTCTAGCTTGTGTCATGGTGATATATAATATGCAGTCAACATGTTTAAAAATAAAGGTAAGAGTGATCGATCAATTAGTGTCTTGTATACATGATTCACATAATCATCGATCGGGATTATGGGTGGTCGGTAATACGTTTGAGATACCGAAGTAAGATCATAATTAATATCAAGAGAAAGATCAATTATGCATAAATAGGTAATATAAGGTAGTTTATTAGTAAGTTATACATGATCAATTGAATAAAGTATGTAATCAATTAAAGAGTCAAACGATCGTATGATCGTATATGAGCAAATTATGATGTAAGTAATGTGACCCGAAGTGTATATATAGCCAAAGAGATTGTAATAATATAAAAAGATCTTAGTTAGTTAGTTTAGAAAGTTTCGCTCTTAATAAACAAGAAATAAAACCTTTAATAAAATAAAGTAATAGTATATAAAGTAAACACTTGCTGTTTAAGTTGGTTCACTTGGTTTCTAATTAATAGTGCATACTATCCGGGTTAGGTTTTTCTTTGACAAAAGTCATTGATCAACCCATAACACTAGTCTTTTTAGAATTGTATACCCGATATTCAACAACCCTGGAGCTGAGTTGTTTGAAGTTTTCTGAAGCATTTCTTTCCATTCCCTTTCCTTGATTTCATCAGACAGGCCATTATACCACTCTTGGTTAATATAGCTTAAGGGTTCATATTCTGATTGCCACTCTTTTTCTTCGTTTGATTCATTATCAACCTCTTTAAACTGTTTCAAAAAGTGCTTATCTACAGCTTGTTTAACTTCTTTGGGTTTATAAACTAGCTCTTTCTTCCCACTTCTCTGGTCTGTTGTAACTAGGATTCTTTCTATTTTTAATTTATTCCATAGTTTTTTGAGGATGCTATTTAGCATTTTCTTCTCATACTGGCCGACCATTCCAAATCTTCTTTCTATATTTTCCCTTATCTTTTTATTTTGCTCTATTCTTTGCTCTAAGATCATTTTCTTTTCGATTACTTTTATCCACCCTTTGAGGTCTTTTATCCATTGCTCTAACCAGCAATCTTCAACCTCTTTAATTTCTGTTTCGTTATTAAGGTTCACTTAATTTATCTGGATATTTATCGAATATTGATCTTCTAGTTCAATTTTACCATTTAGGTTTTTGGACCCCTTTCTCTCCATACTTCTAAGTTGTTTGATCTATTTATATCTTGAGTTCCAGATAATCTGCTTTTGTCTTTCTTCTAGCATATTATTAATTTTCTTGAAGGTGACCGTTTTGTTGGCTGCTATTGTTATACAATTAGCTAGCTTTTTCCAACCTTCGTTTATCAGATATTCTGTTGCTAAGAGGTGAGTTTCAACTTTTTTCTTTTTGACTCTGTTCTGTTCTTCATTTAAATATTTTTCTAAGAGAGAGGTAAACTTTTCCCAATCTTCATTAGACATTTTGTCATAGAGATATATTTTGTGCTATCCAGAATATCTTCTATGTTGTTCGGCAACTGAATTGGCATGAAGTATTGGGCTTAATAGTATCTTTGCCCATATTAGGTTGTGATCACTACCTGTCACCAGATCCATATCTTCAATGTCACTATCTATTATAAGCTCTTTAATTGTTGAATCTAGCTATATATAGTCTATTTTCAAGTAATAATTGTTATTAGACCAGGTTGTTTTAAAGATTAGAGGGTTAATTAATAGGTAGAATTCTGCGTAGTCTACTCTTTGGAGCCAATTTAATAAGGGCAGTTTACTGTATTTGTGTTCTGAGGTCTCATCATCTGTATATTGGCTAGGGGTCGTATGAGGGTCAAGTTTAGCATTAAAGTCTCCTCCTATTAATATTCTTGTATTTGAGCTGCTCTTAGCAATGTCTTCTATCAAAAATTGCTATATCTTTCTTTGCATATCTTTATCATTTGGGGGAAAATATACTACCCAGATAACTAATATTGTTTTTTTAAATCTAAAGACTGCTTTTAACGCATATATATTTTTGCACACTATTTTAGTTAAGTGTGTTTGCCATTTTTTTCCTATTATGATACCTACACCTAAACCTTTTTTCTTTTCTATATTATCTTTGGTCCAGAAAGCCCTGAATTGCTACCATTCTACTTCTAAGAAAACCTATCTCTTGCACTAATATTTGTTTCTGTTAACTCTACAATGTCCAAATTTTCTTCTATACTAAAATCTAAAAGCTCTTGCAATTTCGATCTATTCTTTTTAAGACTATTTATATTATGAAAACCTAATTTTAATTGTTCGAAACTTTCATTCCTTTTATTGATTTGGCCTAAATTTTCTGGCCTTAGAGTGTTTCTTAACCTTTTTACCTGTAATTCAACTGTGGCAACTTTTAGGAGCACTGGGCGATCTGCAACTCCAGCTCTGTAAATCTCTTCTTCATTTCATCTACTAGTCCCAAATATTTTTGGCTTGGTCTAATTCACCTTCTTGTTTTTCTTGTTTCTTTTTTTCCCCATTTAGTACTATTCTGTTTAAACCAGTTGCATATTTATTTTCTATGCTTCTGAGAGATTTTCTGATATTGTTGTTAGCTCTGGGGTTTCTGGTATTTCTTTTATTTTCTTTACTATCTGAGGGGTCATATATGTATCTTTTTGCTCTAATGCTTTGTTTGGTAGATAATCGTTTGATAGAAAACCTTTCTTTCGGTGCCTCAGATTCAACTACTGGTCTTTTTCCTTTCTCTATATCTCTATTTGTTTTCCTATATTGAAAATTGTTATATAATTTTTTTCTATTTGAGAGCTCAATAGATGGGTGCCAGTTGAGCTTGGTATTGAAGTAATAGAGATTGCAATTCTGAGCTAATGTAAGATCCTCCTCTGATTTAAAATACAAGTGAGCCACTTTTCTTTGATTTTCATTATGATTGCTTAGTATATGTACTGCCTGCACTTTATACTTCTTCAGTTGGCATAAGAGAAGACTGTTATAAGCAGATATTGGTAAATTAGAAATTACACTTTTGTAATGGTTTCTTTTTTCTAATTCAGAGATGTCGAATCTACCAAGTATAATGCGATATATTTTGCCATATTCCAGGTGAATGGATCAACTTTCTTTTAGAGATTTCCCTTTTTGTTCGGAACTTGGCAAGATTCTAATATAGGCTGCCTTGGTTCTAAAATTTTGTTGCTATGAGACTAGCTTTGCTATACCAAAATAACCAAGATATGACTTTATTACTGATGCACTCATTTCTTTAGGCAGGTCCCAAATTGTGAAATCATATATTGGGTTGTGTATTTGCTTTTGAGGAGAAGTTTAATTCTTTGGGGCCCAGGCCGAGTTGTATAATGCTTGTGCTTTTAACTGCTTTTGTATGCGTAGGCTTTTACCTTCTCCTGTAGTACTTCTTCAAGATACTCTATAAGACCATAATTGAGCATGCCGCACTCATTTTGAATTAGTGCCACTTTAACTAATTCCTCTTTGTTTTCTGAAGAATAAGGAATTAATTCTTGCTCTTCTAGATTCCATTTGCGGAAGTTGTTGTATGGTTCTTCTTCTGTGTTATTTATGATGATGTTATTTTCTGTTGATATTACAATCAGTGCAGTTTCTATAAAAATTGGCTCAACATTGTTTTTGATTTTTTTGGATATTATTACTGCATTGTGATGCAGTCTTTTTTATAGAATGATCTGTTATTTGATTTTTCGTCTATTTCCATATTATTGCTAGTTTTAGTAAGAGAATTTGTATGATGATTTGTTGTAACTTCCATGGAAATGAATTCGCTTTCAAGCCTAATATTGTCTATTTGAGAGGTTACTTTATTTGTTTTGCTTACGTGTCCTTTAAGCTTACTAGGGTATTCTATAAAAGCTTCTTCTTTTTCTGTTATATTTAACCCTCTAAATTTTTGTTGTTGTGCATAATCATGCCATTGTAATACTGTGCGAATAATTGCAATAAGATAAGTTTCAAAGATGTATGTTTTGTTTCTCTTGAATTGAGGCTTTTTCTTTTTCTGATTTATTGAAAAAATTTTTATAATCTACAAGATCCAGCATTTTACGTGTATTGTTTGTTTACTTCACATGTCTGTTTGTTGTATTGTTTGTTTATCTACTGAAATCTAGATTGTTTGTTTATCGCCGAAAATAGACGTGTTTGTTTGGTTTGTTTTGTTTGCTTGCAGATCTACAATACAGGGTCTATAGTAAATTCTCGAAATTTTTGTCGAAGGTATGAATTTTTCCAAAAAGTGGGCTCCCAAGAGTGTAAGAGATAATATTGTTCTAAGAGACTCCAGTTATTTTCCTTTGTTCTATCTTTTAGCTTAGTACTGTTTCTAATATTGACTTAGTAAAGTATAGCTCAGGACCTTGGTTTTCTTTAACTCCAGATTTGGTTTTAGTGATTGTCAAAAAGAATTTTTTTTTTTTTTGAGAATAATAATTTATTAAAATTTTAATTTAAAATTTAATATATGGGGGGGAGTCAATAGAATCCAGGCAAATTGTTTTTAGTAAGTTTTTTTAAAAACTTTAAATTAAAATATCTCAACAACTATTAAACCAAACTTGATAAAAATTTTTTTATTTTAATTCCATTTAGTTATAGAATTAAAATAAAAAAAATTTCATCAAGTTTAGTCTAATAGTTGCTAAAATATTTTAATTTAAAGTTTTAAAAAAAACTTACTAAAAACAATTTGCCTGGATTCTATTGACTCCCCCCCATATATAATATATACCTAATCGCTTTATATAATCACAAATATTATTAAAATTGTATGAATAATTATAAACAACTTTAAGAATTTTTTGTCCTTGTGGATAAATTTCTTTTTGAATTTTATCCAT